TCCAATTTGACTGGTTGAACTGCGTCCATTCCGAAAACTAAGGAGTATGGAGTTACTCCAATTGATGTTCGTATAGACGTTCTATAACCCCATAGTGCGAAGTGTAGTTTATTCGGCCAGTCTTTATAATTTTCTGCCATTTTCTTAATGATGATTGTTATATTTATTTTCCGATTCTACAGCTCCATTCATTTGAGATCTGTATGGGGATGAGTGATGATGTTTTACTTTATAAAGAGTTAAGAGGGTCTCGACTTCAGCTTTGAATTGAGATCCCTGATCACTAATTAGTTCGTGTGGAACTCCATATCTACAAAATATGTTTCGTTAGAGAAACTTTGCGACATGTTTAGAAGTGATATTCACGTAAGAAGTAGCTTCAATCCACTTGGTGAAGTAATCGATGGCTACCAATACGTACTCGTGCCCTCCTGCTCCTATTGGAGAGACTTTTCCAATTATGTCAATTCCCCAAGTTGAAAAGGGCCAAGAGGAAGTGAGATTATATAGTTCGGATGGTGCGTGGAAAGTGTTGTAAATTAGCAAACATTTGGCACTCTGGACATTTTTAGACATATTGTATGCAATCATGTTCCATAGTGGACCAATAGTACCCTTGTCGCGAAATTATTTTTGCAAGCATTTTACCATTCATGTGAGGTCCACAAACACCTTTGTGAGTATTCTCCATAAGGTGTGTGGTTTTGGGTTGGTTTATACACAATAAACTTTGACCATTAGGTCCTTTTTTGCATAATTGACCATTTAATAGACCGTATTGAGCCGCAAGTGTTCGTAAGGCTCGTTGGTCTTTCGATGAAGTATTTTCGGGATATGTGTCATGAGTAATATATTGGAGGATATGATCATACCAAGGATTGCTCCCTTCTATGTCATTTATTTCCTATATTGCGGTTGCAATATGATGGTTCTTCTCTTCTATCAACGCATAATGGCATCATATTCAAGTGATCTAGAATGTTGATCATTGAGGCTAATTTTGCTAGCGCATCGGCAAATTGATTACCATCCCTTGGGAGATATTTAAAGTCAATATGTTCAAAGTGCTCGACGAGTTGCTCTAGGTGTGCTTGGTATAATATCATTGTGGAGTTCTTTATTTTCCATTTTTTCAGTATATGATTTACAATCAAACTGGAATCTCCATATACCTCTAATTTTTGCACACCTATGCTAGCTTCTGCTTCTGATCCAATAATGCACGCTTCACATTATGTGGCATTATCAGTAACCTCAAAGTCTAGTTTGACAGAGATTGGAGTATGTGCTCCCTTTGGACTTATGAGTAACACTCCTACACCACATCCCTTTTGATCGGATGCACCGTTGAAGTACATTACCCATTTTTCGTCTTGTGTCATGAGAATCTCTTCACCCGGAAGATGAGTAGTTTCTGCATGACTTGTTTGAATTGGATGTTGGGCCAGAAAGTCGGAAATTACTTTTCCCTTCATTGATTTTTCTGGAATATATTTTAACACAAATTCGGCCAACATAACCAACCATTTGGATATTCTTCCTTGTATAGGTGGTTGTTCAAACAAATACTTTATCGGATTTTGTTGAGAAATCACATGAGTAGTGTGTGGTAGCATATAATGTCGTAATTTTTTAGTTGCCCACACTAATGCTAAACTTGTCTTTTCTAAGGTGCGATATTTCGTTTCATATTTGATGAATTTTTTACTTATGTAATATATTGCACGCTGACTTTTTCTACCTCTTGTGCTAACATGGCGCCCGTGGCCGTGTCTGTAACTGTAATGTATAGCCTAAGATCGGTGGAATTTTGAGATAATCTTTGATTTTTTTCAAAGGCCCTTTGATCATCCCATTCATGTTTTTCCTCTTTTTTCAATTTTTTAAATAGTAGCTCACAAGTCATAGTCAATTTGTTGATAAATCGACTAATGTATTGCAGTTTGCCAAGGAACCCCCTAATTTCTTTTTCTGTTTGAGGGGGAGGCATGTTAACAATTGTCTTTATTTTAGAGGGATCGATCTCAATACCGCGAGTGCTTACTACGTATCCGAGTAACTTGCCAGAAGTTACTCCGAAGGCGCATTTTTGTGGATTTAATCGCATGTTGTATTTTTTTATGCGAGTGAAAAACTTGCGTAAAGATTTTATATGTCCCATTCTATCTTTGGACTTTACAATCATATCATCCACATACACTTATATTTCTTTATGCATCATATCATGCAAGAGTGTCGTAGTCGTTCTTTGGTACGTAGCTCCTGCATTTTTTAAAACAAATGGCATGACTGTATAGAAATACGTACCCCAAGGGGTGATAAAACATGTCTTTTCTTTGTCTTCTTTTGCCTTTAAAATTTGGTTGTAACCTGCGTATCCATCCATAAAGGATAACATCGCATGTTCAGCCGTGTTATCTACCAATATATCAATATGTGGTAGAGGAAAATCGTCTTTAAGGCTAGCCTTATTAAGGTCCCTAAAGTCGACACACATGCGAACTCGTCCATCCTTTTTAGGGACTGGGACGATGTTCGCTACCCATTCTGGATAATTACATACGCGAATAAAACCTGCGTCAAATCGTTTTTGTACTTCTTCTTTTATTTTTAACGCTTCATTCGTCGAAATTTTTGTTTTACTGGTGTAGAGATAGGGTTCAAGGGAATGGTATGTTCCGCAATTTCCCTATCTATTCTAGGCATGTCCTTGTATGACCAAGAGAACACGTCTTTGAATTCTTTAAGCATCGATATGAGGGTCGATCGCTCTTTCGAATTTAGAGTTAAGCCAATTTTGACTTCTCTTTTGTTTTCATTAGTTCCTATATTCATTGTTTCAGTTTCTTCGATGATAGGGTTCTTTTGTTCTCGTTCATTCATTAGTTCAACCAACTTATTAATATCTTCATTAGATTTATTGTTATAGCATTCGAAAGATTCAATAGAAGGCATATACTCAGAAATAAAGCTCATATTATTAGAATCAAAAGAAAGTACATTAAGAGAAGAATCCTTTTTGGGATCTTCGTCCTTAGAACTAGAAAATAAAGACTCAATAATGGGCACAAGGCCTAGATTCTTAGCTTCCCTAGAGTCTATGATAGATTCGTCGTCCGATTCTTCAAACATCTTCCCTTCGTCTGTGATGATTTCCAGCTTATCGCCTTTGTGATTGGTCCACTTGAAAGATTTCCTCCACCCATGGTCCAAGGTTTCATTAGAAGGGGTGATCAATGAAGTTGGGTCAAAAGCTTCATCTTAGATGCCATTTTGATTGGTCATCGCAGCGACATGATTTGTTCTAGTCCAAATAGCAAGTTAAATGCTTGCCTATCATAGCACCCTGGAATTAGGTATTTTGATATAACGATACTAAAATCGTCATCCAAGAAGTAGCAATCGTGAAATATTTCGAATCCAGGCTTCTTGATTCCTTCCAAAACTAGTGGTTCTTGAAAGTCATAGCATGGGTAGTCTTCTCCCTCCCTAATGAATTGTCCATTAAGGGTTTGTTGGTGGGATGAGAGTAAAGTGACTATCCCTTTTTTGTTGTTGTCTCTACGTGCTTTGTTTTTCACATCGTGAGACTTCAATTCTTCTTTGGTTGGTTTATATCCCAATCCAAAGGAGAAGCTTTTCTTTGGGATAGGAAGTAAGAAAGATTTCTCCATTCCTATTCCTAAAGGCATCTAAGGAAAGTAACTACTCTTGAGTAAGATGTTGTTTACTATCCGGGTGGAATATGGATCAAGCTTGAAAGGTTCTTCCAAGTCTTCTTCCATTTCTATTGTGTAGATTGGCTCCGCGGTAAATCCCCACATGTCCTCTTCATCATTATCGTGGTTTATTTCTAAGAGTGATTGATCATTTATTGCTATTTTAAGTGGAGAAGCATGTATAGTCATAGGAAGCTCTTGATAGTTCAACCTAATTATTTGATGAAGTGAGGATGGTATCGCACTAAGCTCATGTATCCAAGGATGCCCAAGTAGAAGGTTGAATGTAGGTTTTATGTCCATAACGTGGAATTCAACCATCTTTTGTATTGGGCCTGTGGTAATTGGTAGCTTAACAGTTCCATACACCGATCTTCTCGAATTGTCATAGGCCCTAATGCTTTGTGTTGTTGATTGAAAATCTTTTTCTTGATTAAGGCCTAAATATTTTGCAGTTCGCAATGGGAATACATTTACAGTTGACCCATTGTCTACCAAAGTTAGAGGGATGTTGTATCCCTTGCACCCCACAGTTAAATATAATGCATTGTTGTGGGTAGTGTCTTTTGAAGGCAAATCATCATTAGTGAAAATGATTGATTTGTCAGATTTCTCGCTAGTAGGCAAGCTAACGAGATCTTGAGGGGTTGTGTCTGTGCTTACAGACAAAGCCGTTAGAGCATTCATAAGAGAATTCCTATGTTCTTTATAAGTACTTAGAAGTTCCCAAATGCTAACATTCGCCTTAGATTGGCGAAGTTGTTTGACCAATGGATCTTCCACCTCACGTGGAGGTGGTATTGTATTTTGCATTTGACTTTGAGTTTGATTTTATGTGGTCGAAGATCCATTTGGTGGTGGTGCTTGGTAAACTCACCTAGAACGAGTTAGATGATCTATCTCGCTTGGATTAGTTGTAGGACTCATAAACCAACTTTCTTCTAGAGTCTATGAGCGTGCCTCCATTTCAAGATGTTCCATGAGTTGAGCTTGATGCCATTGTTCATATAAGCAGAGATTTGATAAGTCTTGTGACTTCCCCAAGAAATGATCTCAATCAAGCGCTCCAATTGTTTCATTTTGTAAACAAGATGGAGGTGGGACGACGGCATACTTAGAGACATATAAATCTTGAAAGTCGTCTTCCTATAGTCCACATACTTTGTAAGTTGCCCCTATGAGTATTGTGGATAGAGGTTCTCCTATAGGTGTGATATAGTTCAAAGGATTGAACCACTACCACAAAAATGGGAAAAAGTAACACATGATATAGAACTGTTAAGTTGAATAAGCGTTCTCCAGAAATATATAGAACGCCTTTGATAGAAAACTGTGATATAAGTTAAATCAAATGGAACGCCTTTTTTATTGAACCGTTTTATTTGATTTTACTATAGAAAAATAAAATAAAATATTAAATTAGACTTTATATTATAGGATGGTGTTATGAGATGAGCGTTCTATTTGGTTTTAGTAATAAAAAAACACAGTGGGCGCCCAGATTCCTGCGAGGCCAAATATTTAGTTTTGGTAAAAAATTAACTCTAACTAAAATAAAGCTTATGGCATTTTACCAAAAGGAAAAAAAAAGGCTAAAATAATAAAAAAAAAAAATAAAAAAAAAAAGTAAAAACCCTCAGACATTGAAACTCCAAAACTTCCTCTCCACCTCCACGACTCCACCTCCATAACTGCAATTCTTCTCCACCGTATATCCACCGGCTTCCGCTTCTCCGATCCTTTCCAATTCATCAATAGGCGCTTCTCATCTCAGAAACATAGAAGCCAGGTTCGTAATTTTTAGTATGATTTTTATTTTACAAATACGAACCCTATGTTATTGGCATGTTAATTAGTTTACGATTAGCGGGTTTTGAGATGATATTATTGGAATTCTTGCCGTTAAACAACGAATTATGAGCATTAGTTCCATTTATTTCTGATTTTCGGCATTATTCATGTATTTATCGAGGGTGATTCTGTTTAATTGCAATTAAAATTGGGTGCATGAATATATTGTGATGAAATCCTTGAATTGATCTGAATTTCAAAATTGAAAATTATGATACTACTCTACTGTATTCGTGTTTTTTGTTTTTATTGAAGTGCTGGAAATCATGTGAAGGATTATGCCATGAGTAGCTAGTAGTCGATTGTACAAGGGACAATACTCTGAACAAACAAATGAGTATACAAAAACTAGATTACCCACTTAATTATAATAAGTTTAGACATTGAGTGTCAATCAAAATTTTTACTAGTAGGAATGAAATTATGAACAAACAAATAATAATACTAAGTAGATTCTCTTAGATTAAAGAAAAGTAGAAAATAATGAAACTTATATATAGAAAAGCCTTGCAGTAGCAATAGTATAAGATGATAAAGTATAACTAAGAACAACAAAGCACTAACTAACTACTCCTAAGTAACGCATCAAACTAATAAAAAAGTAATGGACTATAAATAAAATCAAAATTTAAAAGAGTTTAAATATTGTGGAGGTTACTCTATTTTACAACACATGAGAGTTTGAATGATATTAAAATTATAATTAACTTTAGTTTTATTGATAAGGACTCAATGTCTTTGAGTGCATATTTATATTTATTAACATATATTACACTTTTTTTATGTATAGACTCATGTTTCTTGTTTTATTTTCTAGTGTTTTGAAATGGATAAAAGTTGGATTACAACCAAAAAACTCGGAGACCCAGAATATGATACCGGGGTTGTCGAATTTATTAAATTTGCAGTTACGAATAGTGAAGGTCGTGATGTTATTCCGTGTCCTTGCCATATCTGCCATAATCTTAGTTATCACAAGGTTGATGTAATACTTGCTCATTTGAGTAAATGGGAATTTGATCGAACATATACTTGTTGGTATCGCCATGGAGAAAGTAGAGTAGGAACTTCATCAATGGGTGAAAAAATGGATAATTCTAATGTTCATGGTGAATATGAGGGTGATAACTTAGATGACATGATAGATGAATTTGAGGAAAGGGTTGAGAATGATCCTGATGTGACCATTGAGGATTTGATAAGTGATTCCGAGAAGCCCTTATATGGAGGTTGTGACAAGTACACAAGATTGTCTGGTGTACTTAAGTTGTACAATATAAAGACGGGTCTTGGCTGGACAGATTCGATTTTTAATGCATTACTTGAGTTTTTGATTGACATGCTTCCTCCTGATAATGTTTTACCGAGTTCTACATATGAGGCAAAAAAAATATTGTGTACAATGGGCTTGCGTTATGATAGAATTCATGCTTGTCCTAATGATTGCATACTGTACCGAAAAGAATATGAATCTCTTAAGAGTTGCCCTCAATGCAATGTCTCAAGATACAAAATAACAAAAGGAGTTCCAGCTAAGGTGTTACTGTACTTCCCAATTATTCCAAGATTCAAACGTATGTATTCGAATCCTGGAGAGGCAAAGAAATTGACATGGCATGAATTTGGGCGAAAAAAAGATGGATTACTTAGACACCCAGCTGATTCTCCACAATGGAAGTCTATTGATGACAAATGGGATGATTTTGGTTGTGAAGAACGAAACCTCCGCCTTGCATTGTCTACTGATGGAATGAATCCATATGGCTCTCTAAGTAGCACCCGTAGTACTTGGCCAGTTATGTTGGCCATTTACAACTTGCCTCCCTCCTTATGCATGAAAAGAAAATACATAATATTGTCAATGATAATTCCTGGACCAAAACAGCCCGGAAATGATATTTGTGTGTACTTGGCGCATCTCATTGACGATTTGTTATTGTTGTGGGAGACGGGAGTGGAAGTGTTTGATGCTAACCGAAAAGATTTTTTCAATCTGAGAGCATTATTGTTCTGCACAATCCAAGATTTTCTAGCATATGGTAATCTTTCAGGGTATAGTGCCAAAGGAACCGCTCCTTGCCCTATATGAGAAGACCATTGGAAGGGAGAGTATATGAAAGGATCTAAAAAAACAGTCTACTATGACCGTCGCCCATTTCTTCCTTGTGATCATTACTATCGAAAAATGAAAAAGGCTTTTACTGGAAAACAGGTGTTTGCTAGCCAACCACATGTCTCTTCTAGCCTTGAAGTGTATTAAAAGGTTAAAGACATTCGAATTAAATTTGGCAAGTTGAAGAAAAATAAAGATGTTATTCCTAAACAGGGGTACAAGAAGTGTTCGGAATTGTGACGCCTTCCTTATTGGAGATTTCTCTATGTACGACATTGTTTAGATGTGATGCACATTGAGAAGAATGTATGTGATAGTCTGATTGGCACTTTATTAGACATTAATGGTAAGACAAAAGATAATAAAGGTGCTCAGTTAGATTTAGCAAAAATGAAGATTAGAAGTGAGCTTCATGCTATTAAGTCTGGAGACCGTTCATATTTACCTCCTGCTGCATATACACTATCTAAGAAAGAAAAGACAGAGCTTTGTGCATCCTTAGCTGGGGTTAAAGTGCCTGAGGGTTTTTCTTCTAACATATCATCTCTTGTTTCAATGCAAAATTTGAAACTTGTGGGTCTTAAATCTCATGACTGTCATGTTTTGATGCAATATCTCCTACCTGTTGCTATTCGTTCTATTTTACCGAAAAATGTGCGATATGCCATTATTAGGTTATGTTCTTTCTTTAATGCAATATATAGTAAAGTCTTTAATCCTAGTTATTTGGAGTCTATGGAAACAGAAATTGTTGTCATTTTATGCCAACTTGAGATGTATTTTCCCCCGGCATTTTTCGATATCATGGTTCATCTACCTATTCACTTGGTTAGAGAGATAAAATATTGTGGTCCCGTGCATATGAGAAGTTCATGGCCTTTTGAAAGGCAAATGAAAACATATAAGGGATATGTTAAGAATCTTTCTCGAGCAGAAGCTTGTATAGCAGAGAAAATGGTATATGAATTAGCTATTGAATTTAGCGTGGAACTTCTTGGAGATATGAAGACAATAGGGCTTCCAACTTCTCGACACAGCGGGCGATTAGATGGTAAAGGGACTATAGGTCGTAGAAACAGTGACTTGTCTCGAGATAAATGGCGTATTGCACCTTACGTCGAGCGGCATATGAATCTTTTAAAGAGATTAATTCAGAAGGCTAATCCAAAAGCAATAGCTGCTGAACATAACAATTCATTTTCCATCTGGTTCAAGAATGAGGTAATGAGAGAGCTTCAAGTTTCATCAAGTCTGATTTCAGATCGTCTTAAAAGTTTAGCTTATGGACCAGATTTTCAAGCCACTTTTTATTCGGGATATGTCATCAATTGTTGGAATTTTTATACAAAGGATCAAGATTATAAGAGTACTATGCAAAATAGTGGGGTATCTTTAGAAGCAGAAGCAATGCATTTTTTAAGTGCGAAAGACAATCGTTCTGTTTTGTGTAAAATGCAATATTATGGGGTAATTGAAGAAATTTGTGAGTTACATTACTCTGATTTTTCTGTACCCGTGTTCTGTTGTAAATGGGATGATAACAACAATAATGTTGTCCATGATGACATGGGGCATACTTCAATGAATCTTCACAAGATTGGTCATAAGGAAGATCCTTATATTTTAGCTTGCCAAGCTAAACAAGTTTTCTATATGACTGATCCACTTGATAAGAGAAGGTCGATTGTCATAGCACCAAGACCTCGATATGCCATTGATGAACATGATGACAATGTTGATTTTGAGGAAAGGCCCGGGTTAAATGATGATGTTGTGAATGATGTTGATGCCGATGATTCATTAACATATGTACGCAATGATCACGAAGAAGGGATTTGGGTCAATAACAAAGATGGTAATACTAAAAGACCTCAAAAGCGGCATCGTAAAACAAAGTGTCCATAGAAAGCTGGCAAGACTATGGATATTGAACAATTAGAAGATCATTTGTGATAACCTTAACTCTAAACAGAGTTTCGGTTCTTAATTTCTTATATTAGTGCAGTAGCTAGATTATTTGGTGTGTGTACTTAATAGTTATTTTATAATAATCAAGTTTTCATTCTTCCCATAAAAAGTCTTCTAAGAAATTAATGTTTCTTGTAACCAAGTAAAGTTAATATCCTAATGTTGACAAGTAGTGCTATCATGTGTACGTTTCTCTTTCTTTAAATATCTATATTAATTGTGCTTAAGCCTCATAAAATTTTCTATTTTCACTGGTTGATGGCAAAAAAGAGAAAGCAAATAAGTTCCTCTCAAGAGACCGCTGAGCGTGAGAATCACAGGGGTCGTACAGTTTGTATGATAGTTGGAAAAACAATACAAAATGGCACCAAAATCCCCTTACAATGGAATCATAGGAAATTTCCTTGTGGGGATCATAAAGCTACCTTTGCTACTTACATTGGCGTAGTTGCTCGCCAACGAGAAGTATCAATTATGGTCACTAGGGAAAACTTCCAAAAGAAGTCATCGATGAAGTTTATAATTTTATTACGGTAAGAAAGTATGTTGGTTAGCTTATGTTAATATAAGCATGCATTAATTTTCACATTTGTTTATTGTGCTATTTTATTGTACTAGTCTCGGCAGGGCAATAGTAACTGCACCTTGCCATCCTAGCTGCTGCAGCAGTCTCGGCAGGGCAGCAGTAGCTGCAACCATCCCAGGCCAACTTCAAGAACAATGCATAGAGTTCTGATTTCCAGCACCCTTGTAGCTCTATATGTTTTTCTGTGTTTTGTGTCTGCTGACAGCAAGTTTTCTACGTAAGATAGAGTGTTCAGATTAACACAAAACAAAATCCATTCATTTAATTTGAAGTACCCTATATTGAATCAGCTTCATTCCCTTATCCACTCTAATCAATTTTAGAATCCTCCTTTGTACTGGAAGAATCTAAACCATCAGTAATCGGTGATATGTGTCTGATAGTTTCCTCATTTAGCTCTCTTTTTACCATGTCTGATAGTTGTTCATTTTTTTTTATATAGTTCTTAATGATGAAATTCATTACGTGCTTATATTGACTTATGCAGAAGGCTTTCATAGTACCAGAAGATCGTAGAGGATATGTGCTAAAGCAAGCTTCAAAGAGGTGGAGAGCATTCAAGTTTAGATTAAGGAAAGAGTTTATGTATGAATCTGATGAGGAGGGAAATACCACAGATGTGATAATATGGACACCACCTTAATTGTATCCATGGATAACCATAGATGACTGGAAAATGTTCGTTGAAACCTGTACTCATCTTAACTTTAAGGTAATCTTCCAATACTTTACATTAAAGATACAAGTTATTTAAGGTGTAATTGTACACTAACTTTGTGTGTATCATATGTTAGAAATTAGGTGATGTGAATCGAGATAGGGCTAAAAAAAGGAAGACTTCTTATCGTGGAGGTCGAAAGGGATACTCGTATTATGAGGATGAGATTGTAAGTCCATAATACTCTATGTTATTATAACAACGAATATAAATAAAATAGTAATTTGTTGTAAATACTGATTTTTCAGGCAAAATAACTACAAGAACAAGGAGTCCAAGTTGCTGATGTCCCTCGCCATCTGGTTTAGATCAGAGCTCATTCTAGAGAAGAAAAAGGAATTCTGAAATTTGACAGTCCTGCAAATTTGGAAATAGCTCAAGCGATTGTAAGAATTTGAATCTATCTTTAAGTTTGAACTCATACAAATAGAAAATCATGCTAACAAAAACCTTTTTTATGTCTACTTTAAATTTCAGAAAGCATTGGAGGCTCAACATAACCAAGGAAAAATTGATGTTACGGGTCGAAATGATATATTGGCAAGATCGTTAAAGACACCTGAGCATGGTGGTTGTGTTAGGGGTGTTGGAGGAGGTGTTACGAACAAGGAATAATCTGGATACAACAAGCCAACACCCCCTAACCAGTTGCAGTCTGAGCTCAAAGAAGTCAAAGCAAAACTGGCCAATGTGACCAACACTCAGACTTTACTAATGTCCTTTATTATGTCTAATTTTCATATGACTCCTGAGCAATTGCATCAACTTCAGCTTGGTAGTTCAAGTGCCCATATAGTAGGGGGGTTTGATGGCAACCAAGAATTTTATCGTGGTTTATTTGGTGAATTACTTAACAGTCATGGTTTTAAGGCAACACATTTGGATGTGTCAGGTGATGAGGGTGCCCAATATGCAAGTATGGCCACTCAAGGAGTTCAAGGTTTTAATTTCCAACTTGCCTCAAATCCTCATCATCCTCATCATCATGAGGTATCAACTGAGTTATACCACGTAGCATGGCCAAATCCCAAGCGTGATATTGAGAAAGAGTCCGTGTCTGAAAAATCATTCAATCCAAACCTTGAATCTCAACCTGAACAGTATACTAAAAATCAAGCTTTCCTCGAGGTAAGTACATTTTATACATGGATTATGTACAAAATTAGGCCATTTTTCTAAAAATATATACCATTTTTCAATTTTCTTATAGCAATTCGTCAGTATATATACATAAAACTAATAAAGTGCATAATGGATACAAATGTGTTTATGCATCTAGGGTAACAATGATTGTTCACTGGCAATAGAGCAAGCCAATGGGATACAAATAGTTGCCATTGGACAAGTTTATAAAGGAATCTGAAGTTATCAAGCATCACTTCAAACCCGTACCGAGTGGTCGCTGCCGAGTTTGTATTAAGAAAGAAATTTATGCAACTGCACCTTTTCCGTTTCCTGAGGGAAAAATCAGATCAGTTAGTGAAGGAAATAATCATTTTTTGTTATGGCCAACTCACTTAGTTTTTCCCATAAAGAAGGTAAGATATTGTTTTTTAGCTAAAATATGTTTATATATATTGCAAGGATGATACTAAGTTGGTTTTGTTATTGTATTATACCTAAGGTTGATAAGCAATCTGTAAAAGAGCTCAATACACTTTCTACTCAAATGCCTTCATCAAATTCATCATTCACCAAGCGTGTACTTGCTCCTATCGCTCCCGAGGAAAAGCTGAAGTTGACTACTACTTTGATGCGAGTTTGTAGGAAGCTAGCCGTTGAAATGAAAAATGGTGGAAAAACCATACCTATTAGAATACCGAATAATGTAATTTATAATGAGCAGGATGTTTGCATTGATTATGAAGATATGCGAGATTGGTGCTATCAAAGAATGATTGGAGCAAGTCACATCTCAACTTTTATGATGTAAGTATGCTACTAATTTTAATTTGTAAACCCTTTTTTACCAATTTTTGTTAACTAATTGTTTTAAATTTTGTTTCTAAATATACAAGGCATCTAAGTGAGATGGTCCATGCACAAGGTATCTCAGGATTTTATGGATTTTGTGATTCTAATTTCATATCACCGCAAACTCCAACACAAGAAAACGAAGATGATCGATGTGACTATTTGGTTAGGGTATTTGCATGCAATAATGCCCAAAATCGAAATCAAATATTCTTTGCTCCATATACTGACTAGTAAGCTACTTGTTTAATTGAAGTACTCATTTTTCAAGATATTTGATATCATGAATCTTAGGTCCTATGATATCAACACTAATTTTACGTGTAGTTTGCATTGGATGTTAGCACTGATATGTCCATGGGTTGGATTGGTGCATTGGCTAGATCCAGCTGGTGCAGAATTTTAGCCTCGCCAATTTGCTCGAGATATTATCAATAAGTATATGCTTTTGCAATTTATTTATAATAAATTAATCTTACTAGTTTCTTTAGTTTATTTAATACTCTTCCATAGTTAATATCTAAATGAGTCCTACTTATGAATATAAATAGGGCAATTTTGAGATTCAACTTAGAGTTCTGATCAGAAATAAAGTGGAATAAGAATTCGCTTGTTAAATGGAAAAATATAGAGGTAATAGTTATATATTTTTTTTCTCGCATACTTATGTTTTGTATTCGTTGATTATAATTTTTACTATATACTTTGAATTTATTGATGTAATAGTGCCCTCGTCAAGGCTTAGACGTCAATTGTGGATTTTATGTTGGCCGTTATATGCTAGAGACAATACAATCCAGAAAGTCATATGTGCCAGACAAGGTATTATTCTTCTTAAAATTATTGTGTATGGTGGTATAATCCATCCATGGTCCTTATATGGTGTTTCAGGAAATTCTTCTGATAGATTTCATTGTTTTTATGATTATTCATAACGTGGAAATTTAAACTTACTGTTTTGTTGATTTCATCATTTTTTTTTCATGAAGTAGTTTAAATGCTAAAGGGTACTGCATTGATCAATGGATCGACTTTTTTTTTTTTAAGACTATGCATTAGGCCTTATATAATCAGTGTTGTGGATTTTTTTAACAACTTAGTTTATGTTATTATTTATTTTTTTACTAACTTAGTTATTATACTTGTAGTATTTTGATAAAGCTCCTGCCACATATTCTCAAAAAATGATTGACGATGTTCAGGACATGTGGATTACATTTGTTACAAAACATCAACCAATCGAAGATGATGATGATGATCAATGTGTGTTGTAGATATATGGTTGGACGACTGGTACATTAGTTATATATGTAATTTGGATATAAAATAAAAAATTATAGCAGGTTTTTTTTTTCCTAGGTAAGAAATTTTCTTGTATACTAGAATGAAATATTTGCCTATGTATTTATTTTGGATCAGTATAGCAGTTTTGGGAAAAGTTGTGCCTCATTTGGTGAAAATCTTATTACGTAAGCCGATGAACAGGTTATTGTAATATATGCATTGCATGTATTAATGCATCCAAATAAGCAATAGCTAGCATCTACAAATATGCTAGTAATGCATCAAATAATGGTGCGATTTTATTATTTGTGCAGGTATTTTTAATTTTTTTAAAAAAAACAAATATATATATATATATATATACGCAACTATGATCTATCATAGGCGATCCTTTTGTGATGTATATTCATAATATTTTAATAATAAAATTATATGTAAAATAGAACAACAATCTATCATAGGCGTTATGTTTTATAAGAAAATAGATCGTTTAAGTAAGGTAGGGGTTTCCTATTCTATGAAAATAAAAACGCTCATTAATGATCACTGTTCTCTTTTCCTATATTTAATATTATTATATACACAAAAATAAAGAAGGCACCTTTCATAGGCGTTCTATATTTGTATCAATATAAGACGTATCTAGGAGGCGTATTATAAACCTCATAAGGCACCCTAGTTGAAGTACGCCTCTAAAGCATTTATATAGCCTATTTTAGGCGTTCTATAAAGCGTATTTTATGGTAACATATCACTTCCCATATGGTCCTCATTGATGTGAAATACCCCTAAGGGGGATGCATTATTATTAGGTTTAGGCGTGGGAATTCTCTCATCGTCTACCAAATCTTGTATTTTATGCTTTAAGACAAAGCAATGTTCAGTATCGTGTCCATTGCCTCTATGATAAGCGCAATAAGCATTACCATCGCAATTAGCAAATCTTCTTTCTGGTGGAGTGGATGGTGTTGGTCTTATTGGTCCAAGTAAACCTTTTTCATTTAATTTCTCTAGCAATTCTTTATAGCTCATAGGAAATGGAGTAAATTTTCTTTCTCTTGTCCATCTTTTCCTAGGATCATTATATTGATTCGTGTTGTTGTATTGCGTGGTGGTCGCAAATACGTCAATAAAAGGATGATGTGCTATCATTCCCCTTCTTGTAGTTATTTTTAGGTTGATGATGATGATGGGGTTTATTTGCTTTTTCTTTAGCAAGATCATCTTCAATCCTAGTAGCCACGGAATAGACCTTTTGAAAAGTGTCTAAACCAAGGTAACGTAGATGTTTTTTGTATTTTTCATGACAGTTGTCAATGAATTTTTGTACTAATTCGAGTTTGGGTGGCCTTTGGACAAGGTGGGCCGCCTTTTCTCGCCATCTACCATAGAAAGCAAGGAAACCTTCATAGTCGCCTTGCTTTAGCATTTCGAGTTCACGTAGAGTGGATTTGAACTCTACGTTACTCTCATATTGGGTAATGAAAGCCGAAATTGCATCTTCCCATGTTGCCTTGAATTTAGGATCTAGCCCATAGTACTCTCTTGCGGTTGGGTCTAGAGATAAAGGGAAAGTCAAAGCATAAAGCTTAGGATCAACTCCCTTTAATGCCATGGTGCCAGTAAAACACATTAAATGATTTTGTGGATTATTGATCACCTTAAATATTGGCAAGTCCGTAGCTACGAACTTTTCTGGTAAAGCAATTCCTGCGGGAGGAGCAAACTTTTCTGCTTCGAAGTACTTGTTCCCCATTGTAGAACGAAGAACTAGCTTCTCCAACGACTTTTCTTTGATGGATAATTGTTCCATCTTTTCTTGCAAGGCTAAGGCTTCAACATTTTTCTTATTAGCCTTTTCAATTTTCTTAATGTTTTTTTCTCCTCGGCTTCTTGAGCCTTTTCCTCTCACAAACGAAGAATATCCTCTTGAAGTTTTTTAATGGTTGACATTGTTGTTGGACTAGGACTAAATGTCGAAGAAAAATGGTTTGAAAGGGATTGATCTTTGGATGGTAAATGTAGAAGGCGAGTGCCCGGGAGTCTTCTTTCCCATGATTGGAAACCGGCCCTAAAAGAAGTACGAAAGAATAAGTAAACCAATACGCTTGTTTAGAAGGGGAAGAAAGAAAAAGAAAATGACGCAAGATATATTCGAACGGATAACTTCGCCCTTAACAATTCTTGAATAAATATATCGTTTTGACGAGTCAATTTGTTTTTTGAAAAATCAAAATTGATTCGTAAAGTGGGTGCGCGCCAGTGATTCAGTTGCGCGCGGATGTCGCGCGCAATGAAATGACTTGCGATGGGAGGGGTCACGCAACTCATTGCCACCTGCCTGTATGATCTTTTTTTTTTTAATTCGAGCGCTTTTTTATTTTCCTTTTTTTTTGCATTAATTTTTTTTATGTTACCCTTCGAATATGACACTAAATCACGGAGAGACAACTTCGTAATTGGGAACCTAGACCAAACTAAAAAGAAAAAAAAGACTATCCTAACACGTTGCATACATAATCACATAAGCATGCCACAAGTCAAGATTCACGTATTACCATTCTAAGGTCGACAAAGGCTTGGGTGTCCGAGGTACCATATCTTAAGAAACGACGCACAAATCAATGACTCAACGAGTTGAACTATGACATCATCCTCCCAACATTTTGTTGGGCGATATGGGTTGGATGATTGTTATTGATTTTGGGATAGAAGCCTAGTGTTGTCAACCCCTAGTCAATGATCCCCAATGTTTAAGTGTGCAATACTTATGCATGATGCAATGTTGCTTGTTTGTTTTTACTTTTGTGCAAAAGGAAGGTATTATGGGTTCAAGTCTTGCTCTCTAACTAGAGATTATCCAAGTTAGTTCTCGTTACAACCCGTAGGCAACCTGGTGTTGGAAACCTTGGACCATAACTACGAACTAATCATGTAACCTCTAAGTCCCTAGTGGAGTCGCCAATGTAAGAAGGGTGATCCCGTCTAAGGGGTACTCTCCTTAAATGCCCACGACCCTTTAAAAGCCTAGGACTTTACACTTGTTAGGGTGTATTAGGATTTGAATTCCTGACTGTTTGGGGGACCTTGAATTAGAAATGATTCTATCATACACGCTTTTTGTAAGGAACAAGTAGGAGTCGCCAATGAATTTTAGGAAAACCCATAAACCTCGTTCATGCCTTCCTCCCAAGTAGAGTTCAAGGGATATTTAGCCTGAATCATAAGCTTACCCGTGCCTAAATTGGTCTACATAAACCAGAAATGAGTTCGGGAGCGAGGGTACTAAGATAACGTTCCCTTTAGAAGGGAATCACGATCCTAGCCCTAGTGCGGCCTCTACTAGCTCTTCCTTTGCACAATTTCATCACCAAACAATATATGCAACGTGATACCTAAAACTATGTTAGTTGATTTTATTTACACACATCAATTAACGTAGGAATTACATCGTAAGGTCGTTATTCTTATTTAATTATATTCATGAAAAGAACAAGAAAAAAAAAAACAATATTCGCCTTGGCTTAAGTGATCAACCAACAATTATTTTATTAAATTCTAATCTTTATTTAACGAAAGATGCTATATGGAATTGATTAATTATATTAAAGGTGTTCAAACCACACTAATTAATTAATTAAGGTTCTTTTAAACAAGAAAATAAACGTGATTCAACTAAGTGCTCGGGAATTTACCACTTCTCTTTGCTATATCTCCGTTTGGAACACTTATGGATTCCTCTTGTTGGGGAACCTCCACCGTAGTAATAAAGTATCAAAGGGGTGAGTGTTTAGGACAAAAGGGTTAGGAAGCACAAGTTCACGAGTATTCTGCCAACGTTTTAGGTTATTTTCTGTATGTTTAAGCCTCAGATTAGGGTCTTATTTATAGGGAATGATTAGGTTTAGGGTTAAGAGCATTTTGTCGCAGCAAGTATCGTGCGCAACTGGATAAGTTGCGCGCGGTAGTCACGCGCAAGTGAATAAGTTGCGTGCGGATGATGCACACAATTATTTGTCTTGTGTGCAGCTCTTTAGTAAGATTCAATTTTCCAATATTTTTATATTTTGAATCTTTCGCGAGCGCATCTTCAGAAGTTGCACGGAGTGCTGCGCGCAACGGAATAAGTAGCGCGCGACAGCTAAGCGCAACTTTGTGAGATGCGCGCGACAGCTAAGCGCAACTTTGTGAGATGCGCGCGACATTTTCCGCGGCAGCTTAAATTTTAACTAGACGCTCCTAAATCCGTCATTATTGGGTTTTAAGCACGTGATTACGCCTAATTATGATCGGGTTTAGTTAATTGGACCTTGTATTGGTCTTGTTCTTTTATTCGGGCTAGTCTTTTGTCTTTTTGTGGCTTAACCAGTTATCCATAAGTATTCTTCACTTTGATCCAACGCGAAAATGGTTTTATTTATTGTCATTGCACTTCCTGTCGGGACAGGAGGCCAAAAGTAGATGTCTACAGTGTTTTACATCAACATTATCCAAAATTTAATTAAAACACTAAAATAAGGAAATCAAAGCCAGTTTCCAATGTGCTTGATTCCCATTGCCTCAACGTGTTTGTTGTGCTTCACTTAAGACAAAGGTTTAGTGAGTGGATCGGCTACATTATCATCCATTCCAACCTTGTAAATTCTGATTTCACCTTCTGATTTCCATTCTCTAATAATGTGAAATCGCCTCTTAACATGTTTGACCTTCTGATGTTCTCGTGGCTCTCTAGCCTGAGCAATAGCCCCATTGTTGTCACAATAGAGATCTATTAGACCCTTGATGGAGGGTACAACATCAAGTTGCCCAATGAACTTACGAATCCAAACTGCCTCCTTAGCTGCCTTAGATGCTGCCAAGTATTCGGCTTCAGTTGTAGAATCAGCAGTTGTGCTTTGCTTAACACTCTTCCAACTAAAAGCTCCTCCATAGAGACAGAATATGTACCCAGTCTGCGACTTGAAGTCTCTCTATCTGTCTGAAAGATTGTGTTGGTGTATCCCTCAACAACCAATTCATATCTACCGCCATAGATCAGGAACTTATCCTTGTTCCTTTTCACGTACTTTAGGATATTCTTGGCCGCAGTCTAATACGCTTCTCCTAGATCTGATTGGTATCGGCTCGTAGCGCTCAAGGCATACGATACATCTGGCCTAGTACATATCATGGCATAAATGATTGATCCAATAAGCGAAGCATATGGAATCT